TTTTTTTTTTTTGAGACAGGGTCTCACTATGTAGTTCAGGCTAGCCTTGAACTCACTATGTAGTCCAAGCTGGCCTCGAACTTGTGATCCTCCTGCCTCAGCCTCCTGAGTGCTGGAATTACAGGTGTGCACCACCACACCCAGTGTTCTATTTTTCATAATTTCTTTTGTGTTTTGGTGTCTTTAAGACATGCTTGGCATCAATGAGAGTAAGTTGTGTAATTCACCCAACAGACTCCCAGGTGGACCATTTCAAACACAGATAATGTAGGAAAGGTACAAGGTGTGCAGGTGCCTCTTTCTGTTCAGCTCCACAAGAGTTAGAGCCCTCGAAACTAAACCAGGTGCTAATTCAGAACTGTCACCTGCCTGCTGGTGACAGTGATTGCTGATCAGCATGGCTGCTGGGTTTGGGTTCGTCCAGGGAGATGCAGGAGGGAGAGGAGCCATAATAAGAAGTGGTTCAGTGAGCCTTTGAGTCATTTGAACCCGCTTGAAAATGAAGTCCTGAAATAGGGCTGCATTTCCACAGGCATCAAGCTGTCAGCTTTAAAGGAGAACTGGCTTCTGAGGCTGGATCCCTTCAGAGAGCAGGGAGCAGCCAAGACCACACCTAGGAGAGGAGCACACATTAGAGGAGGCTGGGAGGGGGTTCCTATGGGACTGGCGCCTCAGGCCTGTGCTGCCTCCTCCCCACCCCCAGGGGCCACAGGAGGGAAGCTTTTTCCTATCACCCACACAGAGCCAAAACGCCAGCCTGACCTTTGTTTGCTTGGGCCAGGGTTCTGAATGTTTTGTTTCAAAGGACAATCCTATGCAGCTAGGAGCTAGCACGCCTCTCAACATCTTCAGTGAAAAAGCAATTCCCTGCCCCCACTCTCCCTGGCTGCCACCCGAGATGAGTTCATCATCCCACCACCAACACTGTCACCTCCATGATCTAGAGCAAGTGCATCAACCTCTGTGTCTCTCGTTTTGCCCATATGCAAAAAAGCAAGGGGCCTACACATTGGCACGGGACTAAACATGCATGATCTCACCTACCTCTGCCACTTGGGGTGACCAGATTTGCCTATGGCAACCCCGGGCTGCCCAAGTGGGAATGGAGGCTCGCTCTGTTGTAGGCAGTGTCTTATGGGATGAAAATCTGCCACCACTCTTCTGAAGCATGGTGATAGGAAGGAAGGCGGGGTAAATGGATCCCGTATTAAAAAGGAAGAAAAAAAATGCCAGAAGATCAAGAGGCAAGAGAAACATGTCACCTGACTGATGCCATTTATTTCTGGACAAGATGACAGGAGGTTTGGCTTCCCTTGATGTAAATTATAGCACAATCATCCCAGTTCTATTGACTTACACATGAATCTGGCAAATAGCTTTTGTCTTTTCTGCTCCCTTGTTGTCAAAGGGTATGAAAGCCTGCCATCCCTCTCTTTGCACTATTATCTTTCAAGGTGACTCTTACACTTTTGAAGTCCCTGCCATCTGCTCTGTACAGCTCTGCACTTTGTAGCATGAGAGTGCATCATGTTCCCAGAATGCCTTCTGTTCTCCCAGACATGGCCACTGATATTTCTTTCTGTGAGAGGAAGAGGCAGCCGCAGCACTGTTACATCTTAGAGCCCAGTGCCCTTGTCTAACTCAGACTGCCACTTAGGAAAAGCCATGGCCTTGAGTTCCTGAGAGAACCCTCTGAGGAATGAGACCAGAAACTGTAAGTAATATACTGTAATACATGTTTGATGGTTTTGGAGATGGAAATTTTCCATCAGAAAACTACCAAGTGTTTTTTTAAAGGAACATATGTGCAATTTTGGCAAAAATGCCTTCCAAGGACCAGAATAATTGGAACCAATGAACTCTGCAGGCATGTGATTTGTTCCCTTGTCTTACTGCAATATGTAAACTGTTCTGAAATGAATGAATGAATCTGAAAGCGTTACTGGGTGCCTAAGGCATTGTAATGTGCGTGAAAACGTGGACTGGCATGCTGGCAGATGAAGACAACACCCTGCTCATCTACAAAGACCTCGAGAAAGGACATTCACCAGGCTGCTGAGGTGAGCATCCCTCACAATGGCTTATGAGATTCTCCCATCACAATCCTAAACCCGGTGCAGCTTTGGCCTCTCAGCAGGTTGCTGCCAGAGCCTTCCAACTCCAGCTGGTGCAGCTGTTGTGCCAGGCTTTGCAAAGGCTATGGCTTTGTGTTGTCCCCAGGGGCAAGCTACATCTGCACTGGACACACAGCTTCCTTGTCTCCTTTTTTGAAAGATCTTTCCATACATAAACCTAGAATGGACTTGAAAACTCCCAGTGACTAGCTCTACTTCGTGGCGGTCTTAGTGTCGCCCTTTGCCACTGTGTTCAAGTTCTTATTTGCAAATAACGGAAACCAACTCTGGCTAGATTAAATAAGAAACATTTCTTACAGAAGGTTGGCTGAGTCACATGTCACCAGGTTTAGCACTCCCTAGCCAGGATCCTGACACCACCCCTCCTAGCCAATCAGGGTTCCCAGGCCAGGCTTACATGGTGGGGCTTCTGCCACAGATATCCCCAGTGCTGGACACTGCTACCGGGGCTGTTCTGGAAATTGGAGATAGGGGTTGCCACCCGTTACTAGAACAGATTGCAGACAGCCACTAACTGCCGATGCCAGGTCTCTGGAAGGTGTGCTGCATCAGCGGAGGAGGAAGTCTTTAGCAGAAGAGATTAGAAAAGCTGGCATCAGAGAGTCCCACTGTCTACAGCGGAGGGGTCACCTTTACAACATGGAGAGCCCCCAGACACAAGAAGAGGACTCAGAGATTGAGCATCTTAAATGTCCACCCCAGCCAAGCATGTCAATTTTTATTCCTTTGTCCAGCAAAATGTGCCTACTGCCCCCAGGTATGTGCCTTGGAGGGCAGCAGGGCAGAGGGAGCCTCTGAGGCAGGAGTGAAGGACACAGCAGCTTCCGCCCCTCAGGCACAAGGAAGTTGTCCTGGTGCCACCCAGCCCCATGCAGGGATGTTACATGTTCTCTCTTTGGGTGGAAGCACAGCCATTGAACCATGGTGGCTGGAACACACTGCCATGCAGGGACAACCAACCATACTGCCTACCACCCCACAGCTCCTAAAGAACTGTCACAAGGCAGCCCAGCGAAGCCCAGGGGAATTGCCAAGGGGCCTCACATTTTTTTGTTACCACCAGCCCGGCCCTATTCAACTTCCCTGGACAGCCCATCTGGGACACATTGCAAATGATTGTCACATCTTTCCTCCTAAGCCTTGAGCCAGCTGGGGGATTTAAAAATAA